GCATCTATCCCCTCTGCTCGTACTCACAAGAGAACCTTTGTTTCTCAGACCTCCCCGCCCATTGCCATACCAGAAACTCATGTAGACATTTGAAAATTCCTAAATGCTCTCTCATCCACCCTCCAGTCCCTCGATTCCCATTCTCTCTACATTCAAAGTATTTGCTGATATCCATCCTCCTGCCCCTCAAGTTCCCTCTACCCCTCTTCCTCCCACTTTTTCCCAACACACCCCGTCCTCTCCTCCATGTGTACCATTTCCTCTTTGTTCCCCATTATCCTTAAACTCCCACCTGGGTGCTCATGTGAATCTGCTCCTCCATGTGTACCATTTGCTCTTTGTTCCCCATTATCCTTACCTCTCCCACCTGGATGCCCACATGAATCCCTTCTGTCGCAGCAGTGTCCTTCACTGAATCCATCCCCTCCTGACATTCTTCCTGATACTTCACCACCTTCCCCAGTTCCCGTAAATAATTCTTTTGGTTCTTCTCCTCCAACAGCCATCTCTACTTGTATTACCCATTGATTGTTTCATAATAGCTGTTTTACCAATTTCCCTTAAACAATGTTCCTATTGCTTCCCCAGCCACAGTTACGCTTCATTTCATCCAATTGCCCTATGCCCTTAACCCTTTTCTTTCAGTAATCTCCGATTTACTTCATTTGCACCCCTTCTTTACCCTTTTCACTATTATACTATCCTATAACATCTAGCACGTTTTATCCGATTCATTAACTCATTTTTACCCTTTTCGCCACAATAGTTTATCATAGTGCTATTTAACCTTTAAAGTCGCACATTAATCTGTTTCAACCATTAACCATTAACCATGATTCAGAACAATTGGAATGGGACCATATTTTCAGGATTTTATTTGTATGTTAAATTATTTTCTGAAGAGTATCTATAATTTTTATATCATCTATATATATCTGCCAAATTTACCAGTGTTTCTTAGCTATGATATTTTCATTTGAGTATACTTCCATTTATTTTATGACTCATATTAGTGCATAACCCATTAGTAATGGGTTATGTCATTATGAAAAATCCAATCACATCATGAGTCCATCTTTTTGTTTGCCAGAATGAAAGCTTACACCTCGGACCACATGAACATGTGAGGTGGAAGTAGTCCAGGAGGGGAGTGACACTTGCTAATATGCCCAAGCCTCGCCGGATTTTACCGAACCCTTCATTGATGTGTCTAGAATTCGCTGTCTAGCACTCATTCTGGCGAGCACTGGCATCCGTCTGCCCCTCCTGGTGGAACATTCACTGTGTTCAGCTGGCCCTGACCACTCACCTTGAGAAGTTTCAGCTCACATAAGCGAATTGTTTGTGGAAAATTATTACTTCATATTACTTTATGTTCATATTTTGGGGCTTATTGCTTTTGTAGATAAATACTGTGTTCTGTGAAGGACATTACGGATTTCTGTTGCAGTATAATCTCCATATTGATACTTTTATCTGGCAGCTTACTGGTGAAGGAAGGTGTTTTTTTTTGTAAAAATAGTAAATTATTTTTACAAATGTAAATGTTTCTTTTACATACATATAGTTTACAACCTCAGGGAACATATATGATGATGCGATGCTCCCTGAAACAAAGGGAAGAACACAGAGATCGTTGTCTCCTTCCTCTTCCTAAACCTCCCCCAGCAGAAGGCACAGTGTTGCCACCAGTGGAAGGGTGTCGTCTGGCATGTGTTTCTGGGCATATGCTGGAGTAGCAGGAGCAGCAGGGATAGCAGGGACAGCAGGAACTGCAGGAACAGGAGCGAGACAGGTCCTCCTTACTTGACACTCTCCCTCCTGAAGAAAGTCTTGACAAGCTCTAATTTAAAGATGGCTTGTGACATCTTCCCACCAAGGACCCTGTGTACAGCCAAGGAGTTGACCACAGCCATGAGCAGAGATGGGAAAAGATCTTTTACCATTTCACTTTTTTTCATGGACTTGTAGGATTATACAAGCTGATTGCCATTGATGTACTCCAGTACAGGCTTTGTTTGTTATATTCCCTGGTGATTAGGAGGGAGAGCTACCATCTCGCTGGTATGGTGCATTTTACAGATAAAATCATGGGAGAAAACTCACCAAAATGACCCTCTTTCCTGTGCTGCTTTATTGGCAGTGTGTACTCCTTATCGTGCATCACACATTCCTTGTCAGAGCAGTGATGGAACAGGTAGAGGAGAGGATCAGGTGCATTCCTCAAGTGTGAAAGACCTCTGGAAGTTGAAGGCCTTGGTTCATCCACTGCCTCCTCTTCCTCAAAACCGAGGGAGTGCATGGCATGGAAGACAGGCCAATGGGTGAAACAACAGAAAGCTGGCTAGACATGATTCAAGATCAACGTTCAGACTGGAGAGTGACTATCTTGATCTGTGCTTGCCATTGTGTAGTTTCATGTGACAACATGAAATCATGGTGTATTGTTCACAGTGACAGGATGTGCAAAATATGTATATGTCATGACAGGATGTGCAAATCGTGATATATTGTCATGTGACTTTTACACACACACCAACACCAACGCACACACAGACACACGACCACAACACCACCTACAAACCTACAACAAACAGCACACACATACACAACACAGCACACACACACAACACACACACAACCACACACAACACCACACACACACGCCACAAACACAACACACAACTCACACCGCACACCACAGCACACCACCACCACAACACAAGCACTACACCAGTCACACCATACAATACAAACACCACACACACAGGCACCATAACACACACCACCGTAACAACAACCCCACACACACCACCACCCACACACACACACCCAACACCAGGTCCACCCATGCCACACCCATCAACACACATCTCCACAGTCAACAACACACGAAATGATACATGACACCAGTCGCGGCTTGGCACGAATATTATTGAAGTAATTTGCTGAATAATTTGTTACTGAGATAATGAGACTCCTTGCCAGGGAAGGATAAGAAAATATGACAAGATGACAGCTGCAGAAAGTATTGGAAGTAAGGAACAAAAATGAACAAAGGACTGAAGAGGAATAAGACTTGTTTACTTGGAGGGTGAGAGGTCTCCAAGCAAAGCAAATATACTATTGGAACCAAAATGTAGAGACAGACAAACATTAATCTTGAAGCTAAAAGGAATACTGAAATATTATATAGAAATGGTTTATATTAATATTGATGGTTTATCTTTGAAACGGCTAGAACTAGAGACAATAATTGAAACAAATAGACCAGACATAATATGCATCACTGAATCCAAACTGGATCCCTCCATAGACGATGTAACATTACTGCTTGAAGACCATATGTGGAGAAAAGATAGGGCAGATGGAAATGCAGGGGATAGCAATATTAACAAGAAAAGAAATTATTACAAAGTAGTTAGAAATTTATCTAGACCTCATAGTGGAACTGAAGATAATTGGGGTTGAAACAAATAGGGTAAACATAATAATAGCCACAGTATATATGCCACCTCATATATATTGGTATGGTCTCAAGGAAATTACCAAAAGTTAATTCAAGAGACATTAAAGAGCCTGGAAGAAGTGCTACAACATTTGGAAACCAGTGCAAAAGAAATTCTTATCACAGGGGATTTTGATAGTAAAATCGACTGGGCAAGTTTTGATCCCAGAGCACAACCACATTTGTGGAATGCTAAATTACTAGAAGTCGTAAATGAGTGTTGCCTTTCCCAGAATTTAACAGATCATACAGGGTAAGAGGGCTAGATAGACTGTCCATGCTTTACCTAATATTCACAAAGCATAATGATGATATTCAGGATATCGAGTTCTGTCCTCCTTTACGGAAAAATAGACCTTGTAGTGATAAAACTAAAATACTGTCTGCTACAGGAAGATTGTAAGCAAGGAAAGAAAGAAGTACCATTGCAAGAGATGTGATTATCGAAGCCTTAAAGATTTCTTTAATGGCATAAACTGGGGAACACGTCTGAGTGATGAGAACCTTGATGTTCAGTATTCAAAATTTTGTTCAATCTATAAAAAAGGAGTAGAAAAAATTCATATCAAAATTCAAAATTCTAGTAATGGCCAAAAATGGTTCAATGAATGACAAATGCAAGAAAATGAGAGAAAACAAGCAGCTGCTTTGGAAAAGATTCAGAAGACATAGATCTCTGGCAGTATGTTAAAGATATAAAGTAGGAAGAAATGAGTATGCTCAAACCATGAGAGAGGCGAAATTAGACTGAAAAGGATATAATCAACAAATGTACAAGTCAACCAAAACACTTATTTATCTACATATATATTAAAACTAAGAGTAGAGATCAGATTAGTGCCATCAAAGACCATAACATTCTTTGTTCTAAGGAAGAAGAAATTATAAATGAGAAATTTTAAAAGTTAAACGACAATTTAGATATAGCAGATGAGACCTCCGGACCTCAGCTCTTCTCCTGTATTGAAAAAAATTAGGTAAGAACAAATAGATAAGAACACACACACACACACACACACACACACACACACACACACACACACACACACACACACACACACACACACACACACACACACACACACACACACACACACACACACACACACACAAGTACGCACTCATACAGACAGACACCTTCAAGAACAGTCCATTATAAAAGCATACAGCCATGACAGGGATAGTCATGTCTGGCATGACAGGCAAGTTTACTATGATGGCTGTAGGCGCGCGCATCCATAAGAGGTTGCTTTTACTCCGAAAGAAAGGGTTAAGATTTATCATGCAAATAAACTGAAAGTATTTTATATCAGAAGTCCCCCCAATCCCTTGCCCGTTGTTATCATGGGGGGGCTTAGGAGACGGGGACTGAGACCCAATGCCGGGATTGCCCCTGCCTCGAGCCTCCTTCTCCTTCAAATTCCCCAACACGTATTGTATACGTTATCACTCATAAATCAACTAAGATATAGCTCTCCTACATTGGAATATTCGTGGTTTCCCCTCTCACAGACCTGACCGTCATATCCTTTCTTCTTATAATCCATCTGTTATCTACTTTCTGCTTTGACAAACTGTTCTCCTTCCTCAGTTGCATACATATCCTTTCACTTGATCTAATTCCCTTACCTAAACCACCATAACCCATTCACTCATCAACTCTTTTACCCATCTTTAACTTTTCAATATTACTCTAGATAGTTGACATATAGCAACTATCACCCGTCACCACCCATTAATATACTTTCCTATAGTGTTATATGACCTTAGATGTCACCACCCATTAATATACTTTCCTATAGTGTTATATGACCTTAGATGTCACCCCCCCTTTCTATACTTTCCTATAGTGCTATATGACCTTAGATGTCTAGCACATTTACATTTTACCTTTATATCAGAAGTACTGGACCTTCACTATCATTGCTCTGGCCAACAAATCAGAAGTAGTATTTAATCCCATGATGCCAGGATGTTATGTGTGTACATGCCATGCCTACTGTGTGTTTCATTTAGTACTTGTTTTTACACAAAGATGGCTCTACAAATACAAAGTCACAAATGAGGCACTTACGAGTACTACCTGTTACACATGTTTACCCATTTCCTTGATTTTCAAAAATATTTTGTAGTATCTAATGTTGCTGTTAGTAATGTCAGTAACACTATTGTAATTATAATGTATATAATAGAAATAAAAGAGTCAATATTAATAGCATTAGTAAAAAAAAACGTTTTGCCCACAAACCCAAGGAAAGGTGAAATCAGGTCACAAGTCTACTAATTGACTACTTTGTGGCTAAGAACTGGCAGAACCTTTCACAAAACACGTCAATGAACACATTTTCCCGGAGGTATTGGGTTAAGTGGCTGAAATGATATTGACTGTCCTCTTTCCTCATTTCTGTGACATTATTATGGTATTAAAAAAAGAGAAACTATCAAGTAGAACAAATAATGTATTGACCAAAAAGACAATTAATCCTCATTTTGTGGCTAGCATGGTTAGATATGAGACACTCCTTTAATGATACTGAATAGAAATGTCCCTTTAGAATCGGGGTTGCAGTGATATTTATTGCTCTTCTACATTAATTGATTTGCATATGAATTTATTATTATTATAAAAGCATGCTCTCTTTGCAGAAAGCTGAGGCACAGCTGGCATACGAACTCCAGGCAGCAAAGACGCGACAGAAAATCCGAAACGAAGAAATTTCGATTGAAGTTGTGGAGAGGAGAAAGCAGATTGAGGTACATTTTGAGAAAAGAAATGCTTTTTGAAAAATTTCCTTTACTTGATGTTTATGTATATGAATGTGTGTGTGTGTGTGTGTGTGTGTGTGTGTGTGTGTGATATATATATATATATATATATATATATATATATATATATATATATATATATATATATATACACATACATATATATACATATATAAGTATGAATATGTCTGAGTGCAGCACTTGGATGAACTGTAAGATAACTGTTAGATGTTTGAAGTATATAGGAAATTAATGAATTTTATTGCTAATAAATCAGTTCCTGAACCCGTAGGTTGAAGAACAAGAAATCAAGCGAAAAGAGAAGGAGCTGATGGCTACCATCCGTCTCCCAGCTGAAGCAGAAAGTTATCGTGTGGAAACCATTGCTCAGGGTCGTCGCACTCAGGTTAGATTTTTAGTTTACAGTTTTGATAACTCATTGTCAAGAATTATGGAAGGAATTATGATTATTTGTCTTCAAAGATGTGACTGTGATAATATATCAGTATTTCTTCCTCCAGAGGTTCATGTTCTGTTTTTCCATTTTATTTCGCTATATAACAGACAGTGGAAGCTGCCAGAGCTGAAGCCGAACGTATTAAGCGCATTGGAGAAGCTGAGGCTTATGCTGTTGAAGCCGTGGGTAAGGCTGAAGCAGAGAGTATGAAGTTGAAAGCTACTGCCTTCAAGCAGTATGGTGATGCAGCTATTACAGCTATGGTGCTTGAGAGCCTGCCACAGGTGAGAATCTGTTTAGTTATTTTTCAGATAAAAAATAAAACAAGCAAACACCCATAACTGTTTTCTTGAGATATATTGGTGTTGCAAATTTTTTTTATCAAGCCTTTTTTATGCTTTAATGTAACATATCATGCTGATTGTTCAGCAGAATCTGCAGAATCTAAAAGTATTTGTAATATGAACCTTAGCTTAGGAGAGAAATTCATTCTACAGACACACACATACACATATACATACACATACGCATAGACACACACACACAGACACACACACACACATAGACACACACACACATAGACACACACACATAGATACACACACATAGACACACAAAACATAGATACACACAAAACATAGGCACACACAAAACATAGACACACACACACACACAACACCACGCACGCACGCACGCAACGCACGCACACACACACACACACACACACACACACACACACACACACACACACACACACACACACACACACACACACACACACACACACACACACACACACACACACACACATGCACACACACACATACACCTACACATATACACACACCTACAGATATACACACCTACACATATACACACACCTCACACACAGACACACAGACACACAGACACACACAGACACACACAGACACACACACACAATTTTTCTTGTCTTTTATTTTCTTTTTGGCTGTCCTTTAGCAGTATGGTGGAACAAATCATTTGATGAAACCTTCTTCTTCAGATTGCTGCTGAAGTTGCTGCTCCTCTAGCCAAGACCGAGGAGATTGTGATGGTTGGTGGAGGAGACACGGTGAGCAACGCCATCAACAAGATGTGCAGTGAATTGCCACCTGCTGTCCATGCTCTAACTGGTGTTGATCTTTCAAAGGTAAGTAAGCCGGGGATTGGACTGTTTACTGTTAAGTTTCTGCTTTTCTTATTAATGTTTCAGTAAGGGCTCCATTGACTGGTTTATACAGAATTCCATGAAGGATAAAGATAAGAGGGAGCGGGAGAGAAATGAGAGTGAGAAGGGCAAGGGAAAGGGAAAGGGAAGGAAAGGGAAAGGGAAGGGAAAGGGAAGGGGGGAAAGGGAAGGGGGGAAAGGGAAAGGGGAAAGGGAAAGGGAAAGGGGAAAGGGAAAGGAAAGGGAAAGGGAAAGGGAAAGGGAAAAGGCAAAGGGGAAGTAGTAGGGGAACATTGTTGAACTATATCTTTGAACATTAGTTATATGTGCATATATATATATGTGTGTGTGTGTGTGTATATGTCTAAATGTAAATTTTAATTGCTTGCAGGTGCTAGGCAAAGTACCAGGTGCGACTGTCACCCAACCCACAGCAGCTCCACGTGTAGCCCCGACAGCAGTGTAAAGCTCCACTTGAAAGGAATATCTATTTATCCAGTGGAAGGACGTCTAGAGAACTACTATTAGAAAATAAGATATAACTTTCTCCATAGATGTAACAAGTCAAGCAGCACAGTTTTATTGAGAAATGGTTATTTACAGGATACTAGAGAGTAATGTCAAATTCATTGATACTGAGTAGTTAATTTACAAAAAAGACAGTATGCATCATATGAAATTTTTATTAATTCAGTATTTATTTATGGTCGATTATCTCTTTGTTTCATATTTTACAAAAAAGAAAAAATGATGGACTTTATTTGTAGGAAATAAATTTTGAGATGCAGAATAACTTTTAAAATATATTTAAAACAAGATTATGATTGTCCCCCTAAAGGTTGGGCATTTTTAATTCCTATCTTTTAGAAACAAAATGATGCTTTATTTTATAATTTGTAGGTTAGATGATGGTAAGGTAATTCTCAGGATCTTGTATAACAAATTAAGTCTAAAGGAAGTTTGTTTATGTTTGTATTGCTCTGTAAAATATCCTCCTATTTCTGAATGTGTCACAGCCTGCAGGAGGAGAGACTTCTGAAGGACAGCAAACTGCATTTGTGGATTGCAAATGCAGCAGTTGTTGCTCTGTTTGACTGATTTCTTTTTATGTTGCAGGTTTATACATTAGTACAGTCTTTGTGTTGTTTTAATTTGGAATATCTTGAAAAAGTTATTTGTTGTTGTTGTTAAAACTAAGGTCTCAAAATTTGTTTTGTATCTATGCAGTGGTAGTGCTGTATGGCAATTGTTTTTTACAAGTAGGAGGATACAGATTAAGGTAGCAGAAATCTACCACATGGAATCATCAATATTTGCATTTGTTTTATATTTTAGTCACTATGTGTAGCTACAGTGATAGCCAAAGTATTTGTAACTATGACACTTTGACTTGTTTTACAGTTCTAGTCCACAGGAAACATTACCTTTCAATAAAGGATTATGGATGAAGGAACATGCAATTAGAACATATTATTGTGCTTTTATATTTTTTAAAGTTTTAAATGTAAAATATATATATCACAAGAATTAAATGAATTAATTACAAATATGCTTCATCGAAATACTTTTTGTAGTGGAACTGGTATTGCAAAACGTGCCATTAGATTGTCAGTATACAATCAGTAGTCACAAAAGAGAAAAACGAAAAGAAAATGAAAGCTGCTACAATCATTTAACTCATGATGTGCTACACTAATAGATCTAAGGAACATTTTTTAGGTCACTGCCAGATGTAATGTGCTTTTTAGAGTATTTTTTTCATATAGATTTTGTTATATCCCTTTTTTTATTTTTAAAGGATTTGGGGATTAGCATCTTAAGCTGTCAAAAATTGCCCATAGCTGTCAGAATTTGGATTCAGGTTCACATGCTGTTTGAAATTTTAAGTTGTTTGGAAATATATATATTTTTGGGTCATACATTTTGGGTATACACATGAATGAATGATTTTGTATAGTACAATATAATGTTTGTCAATCACAAGTTCCATATGAATATTTCATCAGAATAAGGAACAGAATTTGGTCTGTGAAATCATTCATTTGCATGGATAACTTTCTCAATAATTTGCTATGAATCCTCTTGTACCATATTTTGTATATGTTCATTTTTAAAACATCATTATTTACTTCAGATGCTTTATTTAGTTGTATTAGACATGATTCCCAAATCTTACACTGTCTAGCTTCATATGTAACAGGTTTATTTTTACTACCATGTGTTCCCCATATATATTATCTTGAATGTATTATTCTGAAACACATCTACTCTTTTCACTCCACACTTGCATTTTAGTAGGTGAGGTTTCACTCTAGTCTATGCTGTTTACATGTGCTCAGTGCTAAATATTGTTTAATGGAGATATTCAACCTTTCTTTTCAGTCCACAAAGAGGTCTTGTCACACAGCCCCCTGATTTAGTCCATAGGAATGCTGTAATAAGTGCAAAGATACTTTTGATATGTATTTTTGACTTCAAGCAATTCAAATGTGATGAGAAGATTATGAAATTCTCAACATAGTGTATATGGAGGTCCACTTTCCTGCATGAGTCAAAGGAATTATTATTTTGATGTAGAACGATTTCAATCTCTTTTTGGATATACCTTATTTAACTGGTATGCCTTATGTTTGGAGGAATGAAAGCATCACTTACAGATACTCAAATATAGGCCTGATACCTGAACTTTGTTTCATTCTTATATGTTTTTGGGCCAAATAACCAAGAATAGATATAATTATAATGGAGATTCAATTTGGTTTGTGTATGCTTTTGCCAGAAAATTGCCTTTTGTTTTTTTTTATATTTTCTTGTGAGATTATATATTCGTTTTAAAACATTAGTACAAAACAAAGTCAGAGTGGTGTACTTAGTCCCCATGTTTTTAAGATAATAGATCAATTGAAAAACTATTATTATGGAAATAGAGATCATAGAAGAATTTAATTCAGTCATTAACTTCAGATGGCCTTGTTATTTATAAGTCACTGTAGCATTTTAAAGATTTACCCATAAGATCTAAAAATTATGTTCTTCTTTACTTGTGTGTTGTGTTTGTTTTTAAGTATACAGTATTTTGTAAAAGACATTTGAACATCTTGCAGTAGTGGAAGATTTATGATATACCCTAACAGACGAATCCCACTAGTGCCTGTGCAATTTACAGTAAATGGCGTCATATTTAGCCAGTACTATTGTATCTACATCTTCTTAATATTTCCAAACTGAGGTCACTTGCCAGTATGTGGAGTGCTTTGATATGATGTTTACCAGAATCTGTTGTGAGATTATGGTGTACATGCCCTGTTAACTGTTGTACTATTGTAAAACACACATGAAGCTCTAGAATGTGCTATGTACATTTTGTTTGTATAATGTTTTAAAAGTATACATACGTATAATTAAATCTGTCTGTCTTTGGATATATACCTGTAGCTTTTGCTGGCTGTGGTGAACTCACAAAAAAGCCACAGAAATTAATGATAATGATATTCCTTTAAAAATTCCAGGGATTTAAGCAATTCAGATTTTGAGCTTGAGAATGTATTTAGCATTTCACCTCAGCTGAAATATTACAGTATTTGTAAAATACCTGTCTTTGTTCATCAGTTCTTCTCTCACTTCAGTGTCTCAGTGTAGCTCGTATCTTGTAGCTCATTCATTTCTCAGATTAGACAACCTATACAAATTCATCATCGTTGGTGCCTTCCCATTCAGTGGGATTCAAAAAAGTTGCTGTAATGCTATAAAAAGCAGTATATTTTCCCTTTTACACATAGCCTAGTTTTGCTAGGGTCTGTATCTGAGACAGTTTATCACTACCTCCATGTTAGAAGCAAATAGCAAGGTCAACCCTGAGGTATGTGAATTAAGGGCTCATAAAGGAGCACTGCTAGTTATACTCAAACCTATTTAGTAATTACTTAAAAAAGGAAGATGAAGCTCATCACAAAAATAAGCACACCAGTCTAGGACTCAATTATACGTAGAGATAAATATGAAAAAAGTGAAAAAGCAACTCTTACTGCAGGGAAATGCCTCTTATTTTTCATCATGAATTTTAAGATATAATGGGATGGACTGGAAGTTTATGACAAACCAGTTTTCCATGTCTGCCTTTTTGAGCAGCCATGATACCAGTATAATTAGCACCTAACTTCATTAAGATGAGCTTTTTGCACATATTTTGCTACATTACATTTGACTAGTAATGTGTTCTTTGGAAATGGGACATTTTCTATATTGATATTTATACAAAAAAACAAATATATGTCTTTTCAATGCAATATAACTGTGGAAAGATCAGATGACTTTAATATTAAAGGATTAAGCAAACTGTATTTTCAGTTTCGTAAACTATGAGAAGGAGATTCAAGCGTGTGTTTAATATGATAGGATATATTGTATTACCTGTACTACTTTAAAGCCACTCAAAGGCTCCCATTGTTAATTTTCGAATGTATCTTTACAACAAATGTCTTTATATTGGCTTCTCAGAGGAACTCAGTCATATATTCTCTCACATTTGTCATTATTATCATTAAACGTGTTTATTCATGGTAATAAAAGGGATAATGGCATGTTAAGTTTTATTATCCATCTTTAGTAAACAGATGTTACAAGGGCCTAGCCATAGTGAGACAGGCATCCAAAGACAGGTTCAAAATGGATAAGTCATGTTGTAAGAGAAGTCAATACATGATGAGTTTGAAATGTTCTAATTTTGTATTTGGAATGATGCATAATTATTTTCTCGCCTGGCTTTTCTGAAAAGAAATTAGGAACCAAGACATCACATGGACTTTATCAGTGATTAAAATTGCCACCCTATAGTCGAGGGAGGAGGTGCTTTAGATATTTTTACAGTGCCCCAAGGCAACTTTAGGCAGTTCCACAGATCAGTATTCAGAGAAATCTGTTTTGCCCCCCCCCCCCACCTTGCTAAACAAAGAATTAAAAAAAAAAAAAAAGTAGTAAAGTTGATATTAATATCAATTGCATTAGCTATTAAAGTACCATTTATTGCTTTTTGTCAGTAAGACAGAAGACAAAATCTGTGTTGTTACTATGCTTTTCATTCACACGTGCTGGTCTGTCCTGCGCAAGGTAAGGACTGTCTGGCATATTTCTGTCATAAAACTACTTAACTCTTGTAAGATCAAGGAGTTTGTTTCTCCGACTAGCTTAGTGACAATGAAAAGATGGTTGCTTTAGGAGAAAAAGAAAGCATAGCATTTCCCTTTGATCAAATGACAGAATAGTCACGGAATGCTAAATTCAAGATGGGAATTCCAACCTTCGTCGCCGAGGTTCTTCACCTGAAGTGATAATGATGATGTTGATTGTGATGATGTAGTGATATTGATATTGATAATAATAATAATAATGATAATAGCATTAATAATGTTAATAAATAATGATAAATGAAATGACGATATAATGATAATGATAATAATAATAATGATAATATTAAAAATAATAAGATTCTAAAGATAACAATGATAGTAAATGATAGAAATTGAAATGATAGTATTCATGATAACGATGATAATAANGAGATAGAGAGAGAGGCAATGAAGGAGAGTGAATAAGAAAGAGGGAGGGGGCGTGAATAAGAGAGAGAGAGAGAGAGAGAGAGAGAGAGAGAGAGAGAGAGAGAGAGAGAGAGAGAGAGAGAGAGAGAGAGAGAGAGAGCTGTGAGAAAGAGAGGCCCCTGTGAGAGGGATAGCAAGCACTATGAAAGAGAGAGCAAACATTATGTGTGTGTGTGTGATATATATATATATATATATATATATATATATATATATATATATATATATATATATAGAGAGAGAGAGAGAGAGAGAGAGAGAGAGAGAGAGAGAGAGAGAGAGAGAGAGAGAGAGAGCAAGCAAGCACTGTCAGAGGGGGAAAATAATTAAAGAGATACTACACGTGCACTCAATCACAGTGTCGTGGGTAAAATAGAGAAACTGAGGGAGAAAAAGAGAGTGAAGTGGAGAAAGAGAAAAATGGAAAATGATACAGAGAGAGAAATGGGAGGATACAAGAATCTATCAAAATCTAACCAGCGATTTTCGGAGCAAATTATAGCTTTTATATATATAACAGGTTAGTGTCAAAAATAGATTAGGTAGACGCAGTATGACTGGAGGTATGCTTGTAGACAACACTATTATCACCGTAGTTGCAATTTTCATTATTGGCATTAGCTTTATTCACTGTCACCATTACCATTATTGCCATCATCATTACAGAGAGTGGGGGCTTGAATAAGAGAGAGAGATAGGGAGAGAGAGAGAATGATAGAGAGGAGATAGAGAAGTATTTCGAAAGAGAGAATCAGATAGTGGTCAGACATACGAACTGAGAACAGACTCTCTTACGAATTATGCATAAAACGGCAAGAAAGACACTTTGTGCTTCGTCATTTCCTTTGTCGGATTTTATTACATTCAGAATGGTTCAGTAAGTATAACACCTACGAAGTTGATGGACTTCTGTATTCCTTTCCCAGTATCTATCTACCAACCAATATCTTCCTCACTCTATCTTCGACGAATAGAATTTTCTTGGGTAAAAAATGTCTGGTTGTAAAGGATCTTTTGTTTTAAATGCTGCACTTCGTCATTAGATTAATTACATCCAGTCAGGTTTTTCACTTTCATTAAAATGAGGTATAAAAAGAATCATATTCCCATCACCATATGTATATTTACAATAAGGTATAACAAAAATATCACAAAGTATTTCAAAATCCACGTCCCTGCGAGCGTGTCAACGGCCCAGGTGTCACGGGGCTTGTCCAGGCTTGGCGCTCCTCCGATGAACCTGGGGCCACGGGAGATTGAATATAGTAGCGCCTGTTGTCAGCAAATCCATTCATATACATTAAAAAGACTGAAAACAAAGAAATAACTATAGATATCTTAACCTTTATAGCTAATATCACACTATACCACGCTATACGAATTAGTATATTAATCACGTGTACTCATGAGGTGAGGGTCACAGTGCTCACTCGAACAAGTGGTATGGCAAAGTGACCGATTGAAAGGCGTAAAAAGACTAGGTGAGGCATACCTACGCGCATGCGCATTACAGTAAGGGGGTACGACGTAACTCATTTTTACACACAAATAAACATAGGTAAATAAACCTTTTAACTTGTACAAATATTTAACAATATTTTAGCAGTATTTATTATTTTAATTTTTAGGTTAATTGTATCAATTATTTATAACTCGATACCATGCGCATGCGCATTACAGTAAGGGGTTACGACGTAACTCATTTTTACACACAAATAAACATACGTAAATAAACCTTTTAACTTGTACAAATATTTAACAATATTTTAGCAGTATTTATTATTTAATTTTTTAGGTTAATTGTATCAATTATTTATAACTCGATACCATAATTATATACAAATTAATCATACAATATAGTAAATATGTTATATAATCCTTCTACACTGGTCTTTCCTTGTTTACAGTCAGATTTTCACAGACTGGAGATACTAAACCTAAAATTCAAAATTTCATTACTATACATATAACTACGAAATGGAAACTAAATCAGTGGAGTTTAAAATATGTAAATATACCATCGACGGTTCTCAGTACAGGGCTTCCCCATTTTACTTTAAATTCTACCCATTTTCTATGATGATCTAAACAGGTTCCTGTGTGTCAGTCAACATGAATAAGCAAAACAGCGAAAGTGAATAATCTACAAGGAGCCAGGCACTGTTTATCGAACAAAAAATATAATATACAGACAACTAACAAAGTACTTAAAGTATTAACTGATAGCATGGCTATATATATTATATATATATATATATATATATATATATATATATATATATATATATAATATATATATGTGTGTGTGTGTGTGTGTGTGTGTGTGTGTGTGTGTGTGTGTGTGTGTGTGTGTGTGTGTATGTATATGTATGTATATGTATATGTTTGTATATGTATATATAATATATACATGTATATATATATATATATATATATATATATATATATATATATATATATATATATATATATATGCAATGGAACAAATATTCACATTGTTATAGTCTCTATGAAGATTGCCATTACTTCCGTAATGACAATATGAAGTGTGGCACTTCTTAGAATTGACATATCTGTGTCAAAATGTAACTAACAGCTAAGCTCCTACAAGTTCACCATTCACATAGTGATGCAACAAATGCTTAGGTTAAATAAGCTGCTTTTCACCAGATGAGAAGAGAACATCGAGGTGGAGGAACGGTTAACGTTGCGGCGTAGTAATTTACTGGTCCACATTCGAGACTTCCATGCCAAGTGTGGAATCACACGTAGGCCCGCTTTTCGTTTCTTTCTTCTTTGTTGTATTTATATCAGCCTTTTCTTTCTGCAAATTTTAGGATTTACTGATAAATAAATAGATATATATGTATGTATATATGTGTTTGTACCTATCTCTGTCTGTCTGTCTGTCTGTCTGTCTGTCTGTCTGTCTGTCTGTCTATCTGTCTCTCTCTCTCTCTCTCTCTCTCTCTCTCTCTCTCTCTCTCTCTCTCTATATATATATATATATATATATATATATATTATATATATATTATATATTGCAAACTGTAGCAGGAATAATAGTTTAATTATTTCAACATAAAAATACAACTTAAAACGTTTATCAAAGACATTTTTTTGGAAAATATTTATATTATAGTCGAGGTGTGGAAGGTGTGAATGGTCAACTGTAATGAAGGATCGAGATTACTGTAGATAAGATGCGAAATAATTATGTTCCCACGCCCAGTAGTCTCACCTGTCTCTTGCCACCCAAACGTACCTTATGTTATACAGCTTTTCAGTTTTCTTTCCATCTCTTTGTGTCTATCTGTCTCTCCAAATGCGTTATATACATATAGAATTTGTTTTAAGTTTATTTATGAATTTATCTCTCTACTTGGTACTTTCTCCTGTCTTTTATTGATAGACATAGTTACATTTTGTAGACAGATTTTTTTTAGCTTTTATTAATGATTTTGTACAATGACCTCAACAAATTTCACTATTCTTAAATACTGTCCATATGCTTCCTGTAATTCTCATTTTCTTATTATTTTTCCTATTTTGAATTATACAGAAATCACTTGATCAGATGCCATAGAGGGGTGAGCACTGTGTGAGAGAGAGAAAGAGGTAGGGGGAGAAGCCCACACTTAGAGAGAAGGGGGGGGGCATAGAGAGAAAGGAGAACTCTGAGAGGAAGAGACCACTGTGAGATAGAAAGAGGAGGGGAAGGCATAGACAGAAAGAGAAAGAAAAAAAATCATACCTTGTATATTCCCGGGTCACTTTTCATACCGTGGATTGTGAATATTTTTCTTCAATAAGCATACTCAGGGTTTTACTGCATCAATTAAATCTAAAATAACAAAGGGAGATGAAAGAATAAGAGAGTAACAATAACGGGAACCTCGATTCACACATTGGCCCATATTTTACCACTTATGCGTATGCTTATAGCACTGCACATGAATGGAAAAGCGAATTGGGATTCTGCAGTT